AAGCATCACCAAGGAAAACAATTCTAACAAAAAGATAATTTCAAGGTAGAAAGGACTCCGGAACCTGCTGTCACTGAGTGATCCTGCTCCTGGCACTTTGCAGTGTGACCATCAGACTCATCAGGCACGAACCTGCGCTTTTGAGAAGGGTGCCATGTTCAGATAAATAACTGACTAGCAGATGGTAAAGGAAACATTCCCAACCATCCCAGCATGCAGCTTGGTTTTAAAAGCAGAGATTTATTTCAGTGTTGTAAGAGGAAACTTATATTGTATTTATAAAGTGAACAACAAATCATATGGTATAAATGATATTTCTTTGCAATACATATATTTTCTTAAGAAAGATGGGAAAATTTGTGACCACAGATAGTTATGGTTATGCCGTTAGATTCCCACGACTGCAGTTTGAGTCCTAGACCTGGCGGCTTAAAACTCATGCTGGGTGCATGTGCATGTATGCCCAAAATCCTGAGAGGAGAAGGGATTGCAGTGTGGCCATCCTCCCTGGGGGGTGATTTCTTGCTTTCTGTCTCTCTCTGTTTCTCTGGTGAGCGTGCCCTATAACAAAAATCTCTTAAAAAAAAAAAAAAAAAGATGATGACTAGTCTGTTTTTAAACATTTTAAAAATTATTTTTATTTAAAATTATTTTTATTTAACTTTACTTATTCTTTTATTTTAATTTGACCAGGGTGAGAGAGAGTGAGAAAGCAAGCCGCCAGGTCTGGGACTTGAACCATGGTTGGCCATTTAGGAGTCCAGTGTCCCAACCGTCATGCCACCCGCCAGCCCTGAGAAAATTAAACTTCTGATTCACGTACAGCTCTTGTGAAATCCTTCTTTGACAGGTCAGTACATTTGCGCACAGTGCATATTAGCAGCGATCTGTGTACATCATCACCTTCTGTCTGTCTGTACTCTCAGGTCTTCTATTCAACCACAAAATTAGACTGACTGTCCTTGCAGGTAAGAAAGGACCCATCACCCACTTATTCACACATCTGATACTGAGTTGCTCTTAGAGTGAGAGGTAATGAAAGCATATGTTCAACTAAGAAACAGGAAGCAGGTACAAGAAAAGCAGGGTGAAGAGATTGTAGCTATTAGGAGTCAAGGTCCCCAAGAAGGCCTGAAGGCCTTGGGTGGGACTCAGTAGGGTCAGTTCAAAGGCAGCCTCATCATAGAAGAGACTATGACTATAAAGCACAGATCTGACAAAAGATTTATATCCAACATATATAAAGAATTCTCAAAACTCCAGAAGGAAACAAAAACCCAGTTTAAAGCATGGGCAAAAGAGCTGAATGAACACTTAACCAAAGAAGACATACAGATAAACATAAGAAATAAACACATGAAAAGGTCTCCACGTAATTTGCAATTAGGGAACTGCAAATTAAAACCACTGTGTAATAATGCGCCAATTAGACTGGCCCAAACAGCAGCAACAAGCCCCAACAACAGGAAATGCCGGCCAGAAAGGAGAGCAACTGGAAATCTCATCTATTGTTGGTGAAAATGCAAAACAGAGCCAGCAGGTGGCTTAGTGGTTAAGGTGCTGGATCCCACATGGCCGACCAAGTGGTTCAAGTCCCAGTCAGTGGTTTGAAAAATACCCTAGTGCATGTACATGCAAGCTCAAAATTCCAAGGAGAGCATGGAGGAGAATGCAGCAAACGACCGCCTGGGCGTTCTTTCTCACTTTCCCTCTCTTTCCTCCTGTCTCTCTCTGGAGAGCACACCTGCCCTATAGCAAAAATCTTAAAAAAATAAAAAAAAAACAAAACCAGCAAAACAGGACAGTTTGAAAACAGTATGGCAAATTTCTTATAAAGCTAAACATACTGTTAGCATACAACCCAATAATCTTTCTTGTGTTTATCTAAGAGGAAAAAAAACACATATTCATTCACATTTACCTGTATGCAGATGTTTACACCAGTTTTACTTGTAATCCCCAAAACTAGAAATGACCCAAATACCCTTCAGCCAGCGAGTAAACTGTGCTCCAGAGGTGGCACAGATGACCACTCCCACTAGGAAGGAAAGCGTGATGGACAGAAGCACCAGAACAGATGACCTGCCGACACCTGACGTGGGATGGATGGGGCCAGACAGAACAGGCTGTGAATGGTACAGTTCCATTCACGACACCCTGGACAAGGAAAATGACAGGGAGAGAAAACACAGCAGCAGCTACCAGCACAGGGAAGTCCGGGGTGATGAAACGGTCCCACGTCTTGATCATGGAGGAGGTGTTTGTCAAAACTCTCAGAACTACAGCTCTAAAAAGGTGAATTTTGCTAACGTAAATGATGCTACATTGAAATGTAGCCTGTGTGGCCAGAGTGTAGTCACCTGGGGAAAGACGCCTCCCAAGACTCAGTGGAATGGACAGCAGGCTACATACAGGTTGGGGTGGTGGGGGTAAGATGTGTGCTAGGCAAGATGGAGGCTGGTGCGAAGTTCTGAGGAAGAGACTGACATAATCTGACATTTGAAATACTGTTAAATTTTTTTTGGAAAAATTATATTTAAAATTCAAATCTAAAGACTAAAGAAAAGTGATTTTAGGGGGAAATGCCAAAAACTAATGAAATCTCATGCTAATGCCACCAACACTTGATTCAACTCTATATTTGCTCTAGTTGAAGTAAAACCTGCAAGCACAACTATATTTGCTAAGCCTTGGAATGCATAACTAATAAGAATTTGGTAATTATCGGTCAGAAATACCTCATGTCCTTAAATGATTTCCAAATCAGATGGTACTGGAAGAGCTAATGTTTGTACCAAATGAAGGAAGGCTTGGAGACAGAAGCCTCCTGGGGTACCCTGCACACAGTAGGCCCTGTCAGTCAGAGGGCGAGGCAGGGTATGTGTGAGTGCATGTGTGTGCACACGCCTCACTCTATCTTCTTGTTTATCACATTCTAAGGTCTAGATCTCCCAAAAACAGCCCATATCTCCCATGCCCCTTTTCTCTCTCCAGTGAAATCTGGTGAGGATGATACAGGCCTACTAGCGAGGCCATCACCAGATGGTCTTCTGTGTTCACTTAGTATCTGGTGGATTTCCTCTGGACTCTGTAACAGGAGAACTGCCTTGAATGTATGAAGAACTATTTGACACATGCATCAAGTTCTATATAGAATTAGTTAGGCAGGTATACCAGACCTTATATCTAAATTATTACCTGATCGATGATCAGAACCAAACTAAAATTGTCACAAATAAACAAACCCACAATTTTTAGCTTCTAGGTCTGAGTGTATCTAAATTATTACCTGATCAATGATCAGAACCAAACTAAAATTTGTCACAAATAAACAAAACCCACAATTTTTAGCTTCTAGGTCTGAGTAGTGCAAAAATTAACTATAGGTAGCTGAAGGAAGAAATTACAACAGAATATGGAAACAAACCCTTGGGAATTCTTACATTTCTGATCCAGAGGGCATGCTTAAAAATAAATTCATAAGCAAATTTTGTCTAAGTTTTCTAAAAAATACGGTGTGGGGGCTGGAAGGTGGCATGGTGGTAGAGGCACTGGACTCACACATGGCTGACTGTGGTTTGAATCCCTGACCTGGCAGCTTCCTTTCTCATTTTCCCTTTCTCTCTCTGGTCAAACTAAATAACAACAACAACTAATTATTTTCTTAAAAAAAGATGATGTGTTCTATGAATGGCCACACTGCAATCTCTTCTCCATTTTCCTCCTGTAATTTTGGGCATGAATGCACACACACTCAGAGTGGCTTTTAAGCCGCCAGGTCTGGCACTTGAACTACCGTTGGTCATATGGGAGTCCAGTGCCCTCACCACTACGCCACCTGCTGGCCCTGCTAGCAACTGTCTTTTCAGTACCTTTTCCAATTATGCATGCTTGCTTTCCCTTACACCAACTTTACAGTGGAGGGGGATGCGAAGCTGCAAGAGTAACGATCATTGACCAGAAGGAAAAAGAGAAGTCTTTTCATAGACTGAAGGGGGTGGGGGTGGGGCAACATCTCAATGTAACATCACACCAAACACAGAATATAAGAAATAGTCTCATGCTGTATTTCACGGCTTACCACTGACCCTTTGGACCATTTCAGCACCAAGACAAGGCAAGAGAGGTGACCTATCATGTTAACAGTCTATAAGTCTCTCACTGGTACCTGTCTGACAAGGTTTATGTTTTTGGCTACTTTCTGTTGTTGTCAGTATATGTCTATCATATAATTTTAAGAAAACACCATGCAGATAAGGTAAAGTGATAAAAATGCTTTGTTAAGAATAAAGAGGAAATATCATCCCCACAAAAGTAAAGTGGTTTCCAAAACTGATCAAGTGAGAGGTGGGCTGGGCCCCAGCCAGACAGCGAAGGAAGTGCGGGAGGACTGGTTCTGATGAGTGGTCCTCACACACTGAAGCCCAGGCCCAGCTGGGTTCTAAGGAGAGACACAGCGTACCAACAAAGGAGTATGTGTGCTTGTGATCTGGCAAGGAAGCGAATGCAGGCAAGGACGGGGTGGCCACCCAGGGGGAGCCTGATTCTAAGTGCTCCATTTTACTGCAATAACATCTTTAGCTCTTTTTTGGTAAAATAACAAAACACCTGGATTTCGCCTATTTCTGAAACTGCTACCACCACTGGCAGACCATCTGGACACTTCCAGAGCCCATATGCCTCTACAAAATAATGCTGGTCCAAAAGAGGGAAAGAAGCTGCTTCGGAGGTACCTCAGGGGCTCCCCAGTCACAATGAGGACAGAGACAAACTGGCCTGCTCAGCACTGACTTGCAGGAGGGCAGGGATATTCCTGCCCATCCAGAGAAAAAGCCCTCTGTCTGGGATGTTCAAGATAAGAGCCACCTGCTCTCTTCCAGACAGAGCACCTGCCTTGGTCGCAACATGACTCCAGGAGCTGACGCCTCCTTCCACTGCACAAAGCTTCCTCTCGGGGCCCCGCCCTCCCTCCCTTGCTCACTGGAAAGGCTGCTACTCACCTTGCGGCGGGTAATGGGCCGGTGGGGGAGAGGCAAAGTCCAGTTTGTCCTTCAGATCCTCCTCATTCTCCTTTTGCCACTGCAGGCCAATTTTCTCCCAGAGGCTGGCAGCCGAGTCCCTGCGGATCCACAAGCAGAGACAGACAACAATTCAGGCCCATTCCCTGCAGGGAGATCAGGGGATGGCTCCTCACTGAGGCAGGGTGTGGGCTCAAGTCCACACTTTGTTGGGTGAGAGAGTACAATGAGTCTCATGAGCTGTCTGACCACCTTCCTGACTATAGTACAGGTGACCGATTCATCTATCTCTCTGTCAATCAAAGTATTGATGTCAACTCAGTCTTTTAAAAATCACGGGGACCTTCAGTATGTCATACAATCTGGTAATATATAGAATAAAAGGACAAGGGCAGGTTTCTTTAAGAGATTCTGAGGCAAAGGGAGGCAGCTATGTTGTGATATTTTGGGCAAAGTCCCTGATAAACCAGAAAACAAATGAGCACTGCTGCCCACCCAAGACAAGCCTCCTGCCAAGAGGCCTGGGGCAGGCTGTAATCAGCAGCCTGACTCCAAGCTCTGAAGATGACGGGCCTCACCTCACCTCACAAACATGGCACTTACGTGATTTCAGGTATTTCATCATTGAAGCTGCTCAACAACAAAGGGATGAGCTTGTGGAAAAAGGAGTAGCGGTCCCGCAGATTCAGCAGCCAGCCCCCTACCACGGTGGTCACTGCCTGTCGGACCTAGGTATGAAAGAAAAGAAAAAAAGCTTCAGAGAGGCAAAGAACATACTGAGGGCAGGGGTGACAGTTAAGCTGAGTCCAGTGGTGTGGACATCGTCCTTGAAGTAAACGCACATGCTGGGTTTCTGGGTCAGCCACTAATCCCCAGGTTCTAGGGTTAGGCCACTCTTTCAAGCAGATCCAACCATCCCCCCTGGCCAGGCTGGGTGAAGAAACACTGCCTCAGCTGCTCAGATGTGTGTCCTCTGGGCTCTGGCCTGGTCCTATGTGGGTGAGGACAGGACCCACGGGTGCTCCCTAAGCAAGGTACTGTGTTTGCAAAGTCTTCTGTGTGCAAATCTCCCAGCCAGGCTGGCACTGCCTCACCCTGGGTATTTTAACAATACCCTTCTAGGGAAGCCACCAGGGTTTCCAGTTCTGCTGTGGACTGTCTGAAACAATTACACACAGGTTGTACCTACTTTGCCTACAAGGGAAAATAACCAGCTTAAAATATAGCAGGTGGTGTGGTTGTTTAATCTCTGGATTCCCACACTGACGACCACTGTTTGAGTCCTGGACTCAGTGCCTTGAAAATCGTGCCAGGCATGTGTGCCCAAAATTCCCAAAGAATGAAGGAGGAAGGATTGCAGCATGGCCAATCTGCCTGGGGGATGATTTCTCACTTTCCCTTTCTCTCTCTCTCTGGTGAATGCATGTGCCCTATGGCAAAAACCAACCAATCAACACAACAGGTTCCCCAGTCTAGCTTCCATAGACCGAAGTCCAAGACAGGAACTCAGGTACAGTAATTTATCAAGGGAGGGAAGTAGGATGAGGCCGGGAAGAACCAGGTAAAGGTATGTTTTAGCTGAAAGCCAGCATCAGCCTGATCCCCAGGAAGTTATGGGACACGGATAAGGTATGTGTGTGTGGAGGGGGGAACTGTCCTACCCCAAGGCCAGAGAGTGAGTCAGTCATGGGCTTGGGGCTATTGAGGAGCGGGAAAGAAGTGTTCTAGACACTTCAGGTGAAGTGGCTCCCCCTGGCTGTGAAAGGTTAGCAACCACACTCATGCACCTCACAGGCAAAGAAGGCTTGGGCACGGAACAGTGCCCACCATACATTTATTCCCTTTGATTTCAAGGGGGCTTCTCAGCCCTGGCTCTAACAAGGCACATACGAGCAGACTGCAGCAGCCCTGTGCTCACTGGCCTGGGACCTGGGGCTGTGGCCTGGGCCTCTTTGAAAAGCATTCCTGTCAGGAAAATGGAGAAAGGAATAGGGTGTGTCACTGGGGTAAAGTGTAAAGCGAGTGGCAGGCAGGGCTGGACACCGCAGGAGTTCAGCAAGCCCCAGCTCCCATCACGTTTATCCCTCCACACGTGTGGTGAACTCAGGACAGACTGTCACACAGAAACAGGCCCTGGGCAAGCTGGGGCGGGGGAGGGCTCAGAGGAACTCTGCATAACTTTTGCACTTCTTGTGAGTGAAGCTATTATAAAATAAAAAGTTATTTTGAAAAACAGGGTGGCTATTATTAACTGATGTGAGGATGTTAATATCAAACAAAAATAAAGATCTGAGAAAAGAAATATTCCCCCCAACTCTTTGAAAATCCACACACCAAGAATCCCAAGTACCTAGATGACAACAGAGAGCCTGGTCCCACCACCTGGTCACAGAATTCCCACAGAACCACCTCTCACTGCCACCTTGGGCACAGTGTCAGCTGAGTTTCAAAGACTGCTGGAGAACAAGGGTGCCTCGGAGCTTACCGGAGCTAGAGGCCTAACGTGCTGAGAAAGTGCTGAGCTCCAAGCTCAGCCAATACCATATACTGACAGTACTGAGGATTCCAGGAAGCCCATTAGTCAAAGGTCACTCTGTTGATAGCTGTCTGATCCTCCTGACATCCTCTGTGTCTGGGCAGGGAGGCGGGAATACCCCAGAGAGAACACTCACTCACATCTCACCTCATGAAGGAGGAGGGCTGGAGGGGCAGATTTTGGGGCTCCTCCCAAGTCTCAGAGGTGGCCCTCTTTTCTTCTATCAGTAAGTATTGCAAGGGGTAAATTCCAGTTAATAAGGACAAATGATCCCCTTTCGGTTCACAGGAGAAAAACAGCACTGAATACTGAGTGGCCATGGAACGGTTTGACTAAGCAGGAAATATTTCCGTTTTTGAAAGGAAGCTAAATGAACTGTTTGAGAATTATTTACTCATGAGTCAGGTCTGTGGGTCATAGCGTTGTTAGGCTGGAGGATGCTGTACACAATGCAATCTATTAAACCAGACACATAAAGCCAGAGGGAAATTCGAACTACATTTAAAACTGGGCATTAAATGAAAGATAATTTTCTGTTCTTCTGTAACTGGGAATTTGTCAGTTTAAGACTTGTTTAATGAAGATTAAAGTGTCTAGCTCTTTATACTGAGGCTATTTAATTATATGTCCTGGCTTTCAGCAGATGCTAATAATGCATTCATCAATTGATTGATGTTCTTTATTCTACAAAGACTCGAACGCAGCTACTAGTCACACTCCGCTAGAGGATAAATCATCTTTTTCTAATTCAGTCCCTTGTGTTTCAGCATTTCACAGATTTTAGGGAGTAGGGGAGATAAGGGGAAAAGATCTTTCTACCCAGCATCTTATCTTCAATAATGATATCACGTAACACTATTTTTTTTTTTCCTTTATGAGAAAGAGGGAGAGAAACAGAGAGAGGAATTTTTGACAGGGTCTCACCATGTTGTAATCCTTCTGCCCAGCCTCCTAGTTAGCCAGGATGACAGTGCACACAACCATGCCTGGTGTGTTCAGGTTGGCCCTCCAATGTGGCTTCCAGTTTTCCAACCATTACCTATGCATTGACACCATGGTTGAGTTATAAAACACTTCTTAAGAGTACTTTAAGGGGCTGGCAGGTGGCAAGGTGGGTAAGATGCTGGATTCCCACATGGCAAACCATGGTTCGAGTCCCAGACCTGTTGGCTTGCTTTCTCACTTTCTCTCTCTTTCTGGTCAAATTAAAAATAAAGTTCAATAAAAATAATTATTTTTTTTAAAAAAGAGTACTTTAAAAAGAATTTTATGTCCTCCTATGCTGACCAAAGGCCTCAGATTTTAAGCAATTTATATAACTTTTTTAAAGGAGGCATCCTGCTTTAAAATATGAAGCAATTTAAAAATAATATCAAGGGACCAGCAGATGGCATAATGGTTACATTGCTAAACTCCCACTTAGCCAACGGCAGTTTGAGTCCCAGAACTGGAGGCTTGAAACACGCTGGGTGTGTGTGCATATGTGCCCCAAATCCTGAGAGGTGAATGGAGAAGCGATTACAGCGTGGTCACCCCCCTTGGGGGGGTGATTTCTCACTTTGTGGTCACCCCCCTTTGGGGGGTGATTTCTCACTTTCTGTCTCTCCATTTCTCTGTCAGCACATGCACCCCAAAGCAAAAATTTCTCTAAGGGACCAGCAGGTGGTGTAATGGTTAGGTTGCTAGACACCCATGTGGTTTGAGAACAAGATCCAAAGGCTTAAAACTCATGCTCTGCGTGTGTCCGTGTGTACCCAAAATCTGGAGAGGCGAATGGAAGAAAAGGGTTTGCAATGTGGCCATTCCCTCTGGGGGGTGATTTTTTGCTTTCTCTCCAGCGAGCACACACACCATTTAGCAAAAACAAACAAACAAACAAACAAAAACTCTAAAAAAATAGTATCAACAATATATTTTAACATCAAATTTTGTTTGAAATATTGGGTCACTGGGAACCAGCAGTTAGCGTAATGGCTATGTTGCTGGACTCCCACGTAGTCGACTGCGGTTCACGTCCCGGACCAGGTGGCTTAAAACTCACGCCGGGCGTGTGTGCGTGCGTGCCCAAGATCCAGAGAGGAGACTGGAGGAGAAGGGATTGTGGCGTGACCATCCCCCCTGGGGCGTGATTTCTCGCTTTCTGTCTCTATGTCTCTCTCTGTCTGTCTGGCGAGCGCACGTGCCCTATAACGAAAACCTCTCAAAAAAAAAAATTGGGTCACTGAAAAAGTGACACATTTTTGCATAGAAAAACACATCATGATTTTTCTGGCGACCAGGTATATGGTATTTTGGGCCCAGCTGCTGTGGCAAAGTCATAAAGCAGCAGCCTACAAGGGTGAAAGCCACATGACCAACAGCAGGTTCGGTCCCCAAGTCTGTCTGCAAACATTCCAGACACACATGCAAGTGCCTAGGACCTGAGGAGCTGCATGGCTGGGTAAAGGGGAATACAACATGGTGAGACCTGCTGAAGCTGTTTCTCTCTCACACACACTTGTGTATAGTGCTATCATGAAAAAACTATAAAGATGAAATATGTAGTATTCACACTCAGTTGAAGAGTTAGCAAAAGGGGCTTTAATCACACCTGTAACATTTTTTTCACTTGGGAAAAACTCAACAAGGTATTCATTCGATCTATGCTGAATATGAATATCTGTTGCATTGTGAGTGTGTGTTTGCGTCCACACATGTGTGTATGATGCTTTAGACAGGGTCTCGCTGTGTCACAATACTCCTGCCACCTTCCACGTAGCGTTGACTACATGTACATGTCACTGCGCCTGGGCTTTTAGGGAGGATGAAGAATTGAACCCGGGACTCCCAGGTAGCCTCGGCCTGCTAAATAGTAGCATCTAGTACCTGCTACCACAGCTGGCCAACATCCACTGGACTTTTGTTGTCACCCTTCAGTCTGAAACGAGACAGGAGGAAGTCAGGAGAGAAGGCAGGCAGAGAGGTAAGAGGAGGTGTGATCTGTACAGCTGGTCGGCTTACTTGGTGCAGGTTCCTCCACACCCAGACTGTTATCTGGTACTAACCTATACACCTCACACCTGCTCTAGATAACACAGGCAAATAGCCATAAACATACACTGTCCCTTCTACAGGAGCAAGAGCCCTCCGTTTTATGATGCTCTGTTCCAGTTCTCTGCACTGGGTCTTGGGTCACGGCATGCACGTCCATGG